CAAAAATGTATAGCGTTAAGCTACAGTACTAAGACATAAGTCTGTTCGCGCTAAACGCACGGGCCTAACAACAACATGAGATCACAAGACAGATATCTTCTCCAACACCACACAACTCTATTAATATAATGTCTTTTGGCACTGAAATTTCGGGCAGTTAAATGCCTAGAGGTGAATTATTAGAAGCGCAACGCGTGTATATCTTAGCCTAGGCTGACGCTGATGTATTGACGCGCGAAATCAGTGAGACGCTCAGTTGTACACAACGCGCTGTACAAAAGATTATCGCGCGATAGAAATCAACTACCCACCACACCAGGAACGATCGTATAGGCCGCCTACCTATTTTAACTAGTAGAGATCATCGTCGGCTTCTTATTATTGTAAAGAGAGACCCTACAATCGAGTACAGCACTCTCCGTACAGCCGCGGGCCTTGACGGTGATGAGACGACACTACTAGTCTTATTTCGAACTATCGCCCGCGCACTTGCAAGTACAAACTACTCTAAGTATAGAGCCGCCTAGAGGCTAAAGATTAACGCAAATACTGCTAAACTTCGCTATAACTAGGCTCTACAATGGGCTAATTTCGACTGGGATTATACTACTCTAAAGTTCAGCGATGAGTGTAGTATTGCGCGTGGTTCTGGCCGCAATCCTCGCTGGGTTTGGCGTCTACTAACCGATAAGTGGAGGCATGAGATAGTAGAGGAGATAGGGACTAGCCGGCAGCCAGCTCGTATGGTTTGGGCTTCAATTTAGATGACTCTAGGGGGTGGTATTAGGCGTAGTCCTCTAGTAATCATGGCCCGCGACGCATTAGCAAGGCGCAACGGCTATACAAGCCTCAGCTACACTATAGCACTCAAGGAAGGACTCCGCAACAAATATAGACTAGGCGAGTTGTTTATGCAGGATAACGCACTAATACACACTGCCTATTACTTGAGGGAGTGGCTAGAGCTTCACGGAGTTCATACAATTAATTGGCCACCATACTCACCCGATCTTAACCTAATAGAACACCTTTAGTGGGCTCTTAAAAAGCAACTCTATAAGCTTAAGCCTCACCTTAATAATATAGGAGACTTAGATAGTAAGTAGGTTGAGTTTAAATTAGGCTTGAAGGAGGCGTGGGCTGCTATACCCGAGAAACTGGTGCGCGACCTTATTACGTCTATGCTGCGCCGCATCAATGCAGTTCTTTAAGCAAAGGGGTACTAGACACGATATTAAGAGGATTGCGATTATTTCTGTCGTTTTAGATTTCTATTTAGAGCTACTTTAATAGAGTTGTGTTAAGATAAAATGTGTAAGATTTTCTGCGTTCGTGGCCCGTGCGCTACAGGCGAACAGACTTTTAGCGTAGCACTGTATAATGTATAGAAATAGCTAATAGACTTTATAGACTATAATACTAAGAGTAATTACTAGTATTAAGTTCTT